AATGAACGTCGACTAGAAAGAAAACCTGGCCGTAATGAATTCGGAGGCGTCAACTTTTTGACAGTGACAAACTTGAAAAGCAAATTATGCGCAAATAAAATAAACGCGGGTTTTTATGACGGTAAAAACTAGCTAGATTGAGCGGTTCAAAAATCACCATGAAACAACAAACAAATCGAAAAATCATAACTGAACTATTTAAAACTTTTTTCTTTTTTGATTTGAGAAAAATTCAGAAAAACTACTGCAAAACGTTCAAGTGGCTAGAAAAACAACATGAAACTTCTTCAACAGTTTCTAATAACAACAACATTAAACTTCTTTAAAAACCACATTTATATAGCTGTACAACATAGAAACTTCCTAGAAGTTAGAAAATATCCATGAAACGTTTCAAAACATTTGTGAGCTTAGGAAATTTTCATGAAACTAAAACATCCTAGAATTTCAAAAAGATTCGTCACAAAGTTTTGTGCTTAGAGAAACTTATATCTACTTAATATAATGTATAAAATAATAATGTATAAAACAAGAAAAACTATTATAAAACTCTTTTTATAAATTCACTAGTTCTCGTGGTCCGCTTGACCGCTTGAAAAGTTTCATGGATATTTTCTAACTTCTTCTTTCAATTAATTAAGATTTTTAGTTGAGATAAAAAGTCAGTGTCACGAGTGGGATTTTTTTATAAACGTTTTTACCTGCGACAAAACTGTTTGCCGTTTAACTGAAAAGATTTTGATAATTTATTGACTAAGTTTCACTTTTCTTGATTTTGAATGCGGTTCGAGGAAATAAGCAGGGCGAGGCAGACGTATTTCTCCTATTTCTGCTTATCAAACGATGTATATTATACGAATTGAGACAGTTTATGTAAAATATTTTTGTTCAATTATTCCATCTTTGACTCCTCGTAAATCTGACGAAATGTGAAGAATATCAATAAGCAGTTTTGAGACAAGATGCATTCCAACTCCGTTAATTTTACCTGAAAATAATTTACTAAGTAGGAACATAGCCAGTTTAGGTGAAAGAACTTAGATAACTGAAAAGGTAGTTTTTTTTTTTACAAAGTCTCACTTCTTCTTACAATGTGGATGGTTAAATGTTAGGGGTATAAGCACGGTGTGGCTACTTCTGAAAAATTTTACAGTTTACCGTGAAAAGTAGAAAGTTAGCCAGTTCAGGGGATTGGCTTTTGTTTGATTCAAAAGTCTGTATCCTTTCTATTGATATTTATTGTTGTTTCATTGTTGTCAGGGAATTAAGAAGGGCGTGGCAACACACTGACTTTTCGAATTCTGCTAATTTTGCCTCGCATACTCTCAATGTTTTAGACCAAGTGAAATATTAGCCAGCTAAGATAAAATAATTATAAACTTATCTATTATTAACGTTCCATCTCGTAGTTTTGTAATTTAATTGTTTAGACTACGATGAATACGGTAGAATAAATAACAAGCAATTACCGGAAAGACTGCGTTTCATCATAACGATGGCATGTGGAAGCGATAACATCATTTAAAGGGTTGCAAAAAAGTTCGTAAATTTTAACAGCATAGCATTTTATATATATATAGCATTTTTCAGTCAAATGACACTTTTTTCAACAAAATAAAACTTTTTTCAACCAAATGAAACTTTTTCAATTAAATGAAACCTTTTTTCAATCAAATGAAACCATTTCTCAAGCAAATGAAACCATTTTTCAATCAAATGAAACTGTTTTTCAATAAAATGAAACCATTTTTCAATCAAATGAAATCATTTTTCAATCAAATGAAACCTTTTTCAATCAAATGAAACCTTCTTTCAATCAAATGAAACTTTTTCAATCAAATGAAACTTTTGTCAATCAAATGAAACCATTTTTCAAGCAAAGTAATCAAATGAAACTTTTTGCAATCAAATGAAACCATTTTTCAAGCAAATGAAACCATTTTTCAAGCAAATGAAACCATTTTTCAATCAAATGAAACCATTTTTCAAGCAAATGAAACCATTTTTCAATCAAATGAAACCATTTTTTAAGTAAATGAAACTTTTTTTCAATCAAATGAAACTTTTCAATCAAATGAAACTTTTTCAATCAAATGAAACCATTTTTCAAGCAAATGAAACCATTTTTCAAGCAAATGAAACCATTTTTCAATCAAATGAAACTTTTTTTTCAATCAAATGAAACCTTTTTTCAATCAAATGAAACCATTTTTCAATCAAATGAAACCATTTTTTAAGCAAATGAAATTTTTTTCAATTAAATGAAACTTTTCAATTAAATGAAACTTTTCAATCAAATGAAACCATTTTTCAAGCAAATGATACCATTTTTCAATCAAATGAAACTTTTTTTTCAATCAAATGAAACCATTTTTCAATCAAATGAAACCATTTTTCAAGCAAATGAAACCTTTCTCAATCAAATGAAACCTTCTTTCAATCAAATGAAACTTTTTTCAATCCAATGAAACCATTTTTCAATCCAATGAAACCATTTTTCAAGCAAATGAAACCATTTTTCAAGCAAATGAAACTTTTTTCAATCAAATGAAACTTTTTTCAATCCAATGAAACCATTTTTCAAGCAAATGAAACCATTTTTCAAGCAAATGAAACCATTTTTCAATCAAATGAAATTTTTTTTTCAATCAAATGAAACCTTTTTTCACGCAAATGAAACCTAAAACCGGATTTCAAGCCCTTTAGCTCATCATCAGGTTGTCTCACGACACGAATTGCAAAAGTAAACCCGCTGATACCCCCGCCAAAGCGAAAACGCCTTTCAACCTGATGATGAGCTAAAGGGCTCGAAATCCGGATTGTTGCGAGACAACTTACTGTGAGTAGGAACCATCTTTTTAAAAAGGATTGAACTCCACACCCACTCCATCATTCATAATTTCTCACAGAAAGTTGTTGCTCGCTCAAAAACACTTTTCTATCACTTAATTAAACTTCGACGGGGTGGATGTAGAAAAGTTTGATGAATACTGATCTTCACAAGAAACGTTCTTGTACCTAAGCCTTACGATTCAATTACTGTAATATTAATATTCAATCATCATAAAAATTATTGTTAGTACTATAATATCATTTATTTATTCATCTACATAATTATTACCATTAGGTTTTAGGTTTCATTTGCTTGAAAAAAGATTTCGTTTTCTTGGAAAATGGTTTCATTTGATTGAAAAAAGGATTCATTCGTTTAAAAAAAGTTTCGTTTGATTGAAAAAAGTTTCATTTGGTTGAAATAAGTTTCATTTGGTTGAAAAAAAGTTTCATTTGACTGAAAAATGCTATAATCTTCCTATATTGAATTTGAATTACAAAACTTTAAATACATTTTTGAGGCTATAAAAATGTATGCATAAATTAATAACATTTGAATTACTTGTGCCTTTTTATAAAACACCCTAATGTTTGGATTTCATTTTCTTGAAGTAAGGTTTCATTTGCTTGAAAAAAGGTTTCAGTTGCTTGGAAAAAGGTTTCATTTGATTGAAAAAAATTTCATTTTACTGAAAAATGCTATATATGAAGATATTAAGTGTTGTTGAAATTAACTAAATTAAATCATTGAAATATGCAATTTGTCAATATTTGTACTACCTTCGCGCAGCTTTAATTTAGGCGGAAAAGTGGGCTCATATTGTGCCGCTAAATTGGCGAATCACATTTTTTTTAATATATCAGTTTAGGTAAAAACCGTTGATCATTTTCTCATAAAGTTTCACTTCTCTTGAACCTCGATGGGGTGATGTCAGGAATATAAACAGAGTGAGACAAAATTCAAACTCATTCCGATTCTGATAATTTTGGCTGTTAATATTCTTATCATAAGGAGAAGCTGTATTGTAGGCGAAAGAATGTTATTCTACTGTTTCAAAAGCGTCATTTGTTTAAATGTTGATGGTTAAGTATCAAGGTTATAAGCAGGGCGAGGCGAGAAGCAAACTCCTTCCAACTCTGTTCATTTTGCCTGTCAATATTCTACTTGAAGTCAGACGTTATCAGTTTATGTAATGTGAATTTGAGTATTTGCACAAAGTGTAATTTCTCTTGAATTCGCACGATAAGATCCCAGGTCTATAAGGAGGTTGAAGCGACACATAGTTTCTATAATTTCTGCGCATTTTGCCTATCAAACGCTCAGTATTTAGAAGTAGAAAATAAGCCGGTTTAGGTGATGTACTTTGATCATTTCCTTGCAAAGTCCGATTTCTCATGGATCTGTTTGGGTTATAAGCAGAGTAAGGAAGGTTCACTCTTCTACCATTTCTAATAATTTTACCAGCTTACAGTCTATATTTTACAAGAAATAAAATGTTAGCCAGTTTAGGTAGATGTTTCTTCATTGGCACAAATTGTTCTTAGAGGTTTTAGGAAGTTGTCAGTTTATGTTAAAATCATTTGCTAATCGAGAAGTATGACTCAACTCGAATCTGGGTGGTTGGATGTCAGAGTATAAGCTGGGTGAGGCAAAATGCAAATTTCTTCCAGTTCTGCTAATTTGGCCTGTCAATTTGTTACTAAATGTAGTAAGTTAGCCAGTTTAGGTGAATGGATAATTTATCTTACTATGTCTGACTCTTGTACTCTTGGATACTGTGATGTTAGGGATATAAGCAGGTAATATACTGATCGCTTCCATTGTTGATAGTATGGCCCTTTGCCGTAATAATTTCCATTTAATTCGGAAGATTAGGATTAAAAATTATTTTTGTTGTCATTCTCTTGAATGTGGACGACGTAGTTCAGGGATAGGTATCGATGTTTACCCGGTTCGCCAGAGGCTGCCTAAATATTAATGATTTGTCACATGTTTCCCAGTTTCCGCGTGGTGTCTGGGTTTTTCGGTGGAAAAATGTATGCTTCCTTTAGAAAAATCCAACGTCTTCTGTTAAGGACTTTCTCCTTGGGGACACCCTTCCTGCAAGGAAGCCCGTCACCGGTAGCCCCGTGGAGGGGAGGCGAGGGCGAGACGGCACGGAGGAGGACCGGTACATTCAGAGGCAAACTGTCCACGGCAGGGCTCGGTCGGTCTCGCTTTTTCTTCTCAAGTTCGCCTCCACTGGATACGAGGGGGAGGGGCTGAAGACCACGTTTTTCACCCGATTCGCGGAGTATAGTGCATTCACTTATTTTCTTCCTGGTGCAATCTGTACATTTACAGTGCTATTCTTATTTTTTTGTGTTAGTGATATTTTAAGATCTTCTAAATATAAATAATTGGTGAGTACTTAATTTATTTGAAAAATAATTAGTAACTTTAGTAGTTAGTATTAGTAGTTTCAGTAGTATCTAGCAAGATGCTTTTTATACTTGTGTTAAATACATTAGAAATTTATTGCTATACAATATTCCAATTTTTGCGGACACCAAAAATAGGAAAAAAATTAAAAAATATTTTTTAATATATAAATTTTTGAACCGAAATCTAGAATCACAGATTAAAAACAAAAATAAAAACAAAGACGTTAAAAACTCATAGAACCTTCGGATGAATTAAAAAACATCATGCACTTACTTCAGAAATCATTCTAGTAGAAAAATGACATGAAAGTACTTCAAAACTTTGTAGGTGTAAGAAAAAACATCAAGAAACGCCTTCATAAAATTTGAGAGATCATCCTCGAAACATGGGTAGAAAAGGTTCATAAAACTACTTAACATTTTTTGAGTAGTTACAAAAATTCATAAAACCGCTTCAAAGCATTTGAGTAGTTAAAAAATTCCATGAAACTACTTCAAAACAGTTGAGCTCTTAGAAAGGATTCATAAAATCTCTTCAAAAGTTTTGTGTACTTAGAAAAGTCTATAAAACTGCTTCAAAACATTTTAGTGGTTAGAAAACGCCCACAAAACTATTTCCAAACTTTTAATAGTAAGAAAAAGATAATAAAACTACTTCAGAATTTTTGAGTAGTCAGAAAAAGTCCACGAAACTGCTTTAAAACTTTTGAGTGGTTAAAACGTTTTCGAAACTTCTACAAAACAGTTGAGCTGTTACAAATCGTTCATAAAACTTCTTCAAAATTTTTCAGTGGTTAGAAAAGGTTCATGAAACTGCTTAAAATGTTTATTTTAAACCGCTTCAAAGCATTTGAGCTGTTAGAAAAAGTTCACGAACTGCTTCTAAACTTTTATTAGTAAGAAAAAGTTCAAATTGTTTCAAAATTCTCGAGTAGTAAGAAAGAGTTCTCGAAACTGCTCAGAACTTTTGAGATATTGCTGATTAATGGGCCCGGTTATCATGATTGATCGATTCGGCTGAATTATTAAAACTGCTATCTTACAAGATTATATGTTTTTTTTTTAACTTTGTACGACATTTATAAAGGCTTGTATCATTACGTCTGAGATTTTTTATTCTTATTAAGTAAAGTCAAGATTTATAGTGATTGTTTTCAAAGTACAATACGCACCTTTTAATCCAAAAGGTTAAACATTTTTATTGTAAATTAAATGTATTTTTATGTAAGGGGTTGTACAATAATCAGTAGGTATCGTGTCTCAACAAAAAAAAAATTAATTAGATTTAATTGTTTAGTACAGACATCATTAAAGCAAGACTGCTTATTTAATTCAAGATTTAATGATTTTATGTTTATTTGAGCATTGTTTGAAATCCCATCTGTTAGGGAGCTTCTGACATATGAAAGTTTGTGTTGAGTTGATTGACTGGATGATATTAACCACTCTGGCTTATTTTCATTTACATTGCTGTAGATGAAATCCATGATTATCCACGTACATGTTTCTGTATTGAAATTTGCTGATTTGCCTCGCCCTGAATCCGATCGGATAGCGTTCGCCAGAAGGAAATGGGCTGCTTTGAATGCCCCTTGCCGAACCAGCTATCTTGTTAACACACCTGTCTTTTCAGACCTTTCTGTCCACCTGGCCCTTTTGCCAAAGTGTTTTCAGCCGGCCACGTGTTATCGATTTTCAGGGCCGTTCAATAAAATAGTATCAGCATAAAAATTTAAAAACAGCCTAAAATTCTTTGCGATTGTCAATCTCCTTTGATACCACGCAACGAGTTTAAATATCACCTATTCTCCAAGGATTTAATGTCAATAGAGGTTCCATTTAAAAGGCACCCAATCTTCTATGTAGTGACGATTTTAAATAATGAAACGCGCGAGCTTATCATAAATCACGAATCCTGACACCCTTCCCCTAAAAAAGAAACAAGATAAAAACACTTGAGTCGGTTTAACAATGACAGCATGACTTTGCCGAATTAATATATTTTCCGGTTTAATTGAGGCTAAAATTTACAGCCGTTGTGTTAAAGAGAGGCGGAGGAAACGAGGGCACACCAAATGAACAAGCGTCACGATAAATACGTGATGAACGAGTAACACTTTTATATGCATGACTCATTGTCTTAGAAGACTCATTTCAGTTATTTACGATATTTCTAGCTCTAAATTGTAAAACTGAAAAGTAGCGAAAAGTGAATCTATTAAATGAAGCTCTGTGATAAGGCATTTTTAATTAATTTTTTTTCAAGTGTGTGGTGATTAGTGACCGTTAATCGATAGTTATTCGGAAATCGTGAGATGCGGTCTGGTGTGATGTACGTTTCAGAATAATAAAAAAAGAGGGAAAATTCAAAAGGTGTGGTTGAGATGGGAAGTTGATGTCCGAGTGGAGGTCACGATAGCTCAAGTGGTAGAGCAGCGGCGTATCAAGCCGAAAGTCGTGGGTTCGAATCCCGCTCGTGCCATTGACTTTTTTATCTCAACTGAAAACCTTAATTGATTGTAATAAAAAAAACATTTTGTACAATTATCACTTGAAAAAACACGACACGTGTGCACTCTCAACACGACACGCAAGAATGTCACAATTACACAGAAAACAAACACTTTGAGCCCTGAAGATGAACTCAATAAAGATCGAAAGTTGGCACGATAAATAAAATGTTTTTCTAAAACCTATGTCACACCAGACCGCATCTCACGATTTCCGAATAATCGTTGACTAACGGTCACTAAACACCACACAAAATACTTTTTTTTTGGCCAATCGCGACTCCTCGTTTGCCAGTCAATAAATAATATCGGCCGTTTATTTGGTGTTTTGCAGTTTGCATTTTTAATTATGTCGATTTATCAACTGACAGGTAGGTTTTAAAAATATAAAAATAGGGAGGTAATATTGTACAATTTATGTTAGAGTTTTATTTGTAGGAGCGGGAAAAAAAAGAAAAAAAGTCTAGAGTTGAGAGTTAGGACTTGCCTGTTGCTACTTCAAATTGATTTCGTAAATCAATCTTCTTAAAATTTGGTCAAAATATCCACAAAAACTTTATGAAACTAAGGAAATATCAAAAGAGTATTGCAAAAAATCGGTAATTTAAACGTTTTATTCTTATTTTTTACAACTGCATTATTCCACGCAATTACACGAATAAGTAATTACATAAAACATGCGTAGGTGGCGTGGTGGACCAAAACTCTTCAGGCCAAAGCAATAAGGCTCCTAAATGGCAGCCAAAGACTAGCGTGTCTCAGTGTCACCGGTGTCATGAGCATAATGCTAACTGCGGCCCTGGAAGTTTTGTTAAACCTCCCACCACTTCACATTTGACTCCAAGGAGAAGCCAGAGCAGTAGTCCACAGTATAATAAATGGACAACTATCTGCTAGGATAGGCCATGTGAATAAACAATGGAAACTGAGGGAGGAGGTACAGATGCCATTCTAGATATGCCAATTGATGCCACTACACCAACAAGTACAAAGTACTAATACCAGAACGGGAAGAATGGGCCAAGGGAACACCACTAAAGGCAAATTCCTACTAGTATACTGACGGCTCCAAAACCGACAAAGGTACGTGAGCTGGGGTCTTTGGGATGAACTCCAAGACCGAATTGACGGTAAACTTAGGCAAGTATCCTACAGTTTTCCAGTCTGAAATCATTGTGATTGTACAATGTGCCAGAGAAATAGCTAGAGAAAAAAGCAGCGGCCCTGAAAGTTTTGTGAAACCTCCCACCACTTCACATTTTAATCCAAGGAGAAGCCAGAGCAGCAGCCCACAGGATCATACATGGACAACCATCTGCTAGGATAGGCCATGCGAATAAACAATGGATATTGAGGGAGAAGATACAGGCAGATGCCATACTAGGTATGCCAATTGATGCTACTGCTATAAAGTACAACTTCACCAAGAAGTACAAAGTACTGATACCACAACGGGAAGAATGGGCCAAGGGAACACCACTAAAGGCAAATTCCTACTGGTATACTGACGGCTCCAAAACCGGCAAGCGTTCGGGAGCTGGGGTCTTTGGGACGAACCCCAAGACCGAACTGACGGTAAACCTAGGCAAGTATCCTACAGTTTTCCAGTTTGAAATCATTGCGATTGAACAATGTACTAGAGAAAGAAAAAGGCTAGGAATACATTCCCGGAAGATAGCCATTTTCTCTGACAGGCAGGCAGCTCGCAGGGCCTTAGCCTCATGCGAGGCGAAAGCAAAGGGTGTTTGAAAATGCATGGAGGCCCTGACGGAAGCCAGCGACACAAATGATCTGACATCCCTGGACCCATCAAATCCCTGGACATTCGGGGCATAGAGGCAACGAAAAGGTTAACATGTTGGCCAAAAAGGGAGCCAACATGGACTCTACAGGCCCAGCACCCTACTGCGGCCTACAGCCTGCCACAAAAGAGGATACATGTTAAAATGGATCCTTAATGAGTCCAAAACCTGGTAGAACAATACCACAGGTATGAGGCACCGAAGAGATTCATAGAAGAACCATCCGCAAAACTTACAAAAGAACTACTGGAGGGTAACCGCAACCGAACCAGGATTCTGGTTGGACTCCTGATGGGCCACTGCCGCTTAAGAAAGCACATGCACCGCATAGGAGTACAGACAGAAGAAACACTGTGTAGATACTGCCAGGAAGAGGAGGAGACCGCAGAACACGTTTTACGTTTCTGTGAAGGTCTATGTAGGTGCAGCTTCTAGCAACTAGGACAAGAAAAACGACAAGCAATATCCTACACCAAGGAACCGTTGGCTGGTTAATTGCCTGAAGCTGGCCAGTGAGTTATAATTAACAGAGGAGCACAATAGATCTATTTAGGTCGAGGTGCAGTAAGCCTTGTGGCCGCTGTCTCTTATCCCTATCCTTATCTCTATGAAACATGAACGATTCAGTGATGGAAGCCGTTAGTACATCGATATGAGACTGAGACCT